TAAATCAGTTTGGAAACAACCAACATATATTATTAAAGTGTCAATGCATTAATTGTATAATGATCATTAGACAGTGTTTACAATAATGCTTTAAACACTGATTTATTTATCGCCTATACTATAGTGCTCATTATCGCTGTTTATATTTTCATCGGCATACTGACTCTACTTAAACACTAATACCATAATTTTATTTTTTCACCAAGAAACAATTAAATCTTAAGTATTTTTTTTTGGTCAAAAAAACTTAAGTATTTAACACACTTTAATTTTGTTATAGCTATGGCCTGGATTTAAAGGCATGTGATGTCTCACATTAAGTGTTTATCTGGCCCGTATGGCACGTAAACCCAGCCATGGTAAGCTCAAACGACTCAAATGACTAACGGAGAAGATGATCTTAATATTATTAGAACTTTCAATGGTATACGTTTATTTATTCTTACATTCGAGTAATTCTCATTAATTTGATGATTTTATAATTCTATACAAAGTCTTTTGTTATTCAAAAAAAAAAAAAGATTTTAATAATTTTACAAATCTATTAAACTAAGTGCTATTGAAAATTATATTCTTAATATTTTAATTCACAAAAGAAGATTTTAAGAATACTACATGTAATCTTTGAATATTTAAAATCCTTATATAGCTTCATTTTCATAGATTTTCACCATATACAAAATTATTTACAACTCTTTCCAAATTTAACAAATCTCTCAAATTTTTAAAATCAACGTAATAGTATAGATTTAACCATTAAATTTATTCTGAATAAAAATAAATATTAAAATAAATATTGTTAGTATTTTATTTAAATTAAATATAGTTATAAGATTTAGTATATAATTTATATTTTAGGTATTCCGTATCTATTAAGTTTTTGGTTCAGTTGAATACTTTAGATATTAATATACACTTTTAATTCGGTAAACATATCAACTAACAAATATTACTTAAATATTACCATGTATATTAGATCTATAAAGTTTATCATAATAATAAATTTATAATTGAAATTTCTAAATCGTTTAGTTAATGATTGCTAGGTGGTAATACTATAGAGTTACAAATAAAAAAGTTATTAAATTTCAAGATGCAAATAAAAAGCTGTATTGTTATTATTTAAGAATTGTAAATAAGTATGTTAAGCTAATATACAACATATGTATTTCACTATTTATAATATATATTATTCAGATTAAAGAATGAAGAAAACTATTGCTAATGTATTATTTAATAAAAACGTTGTCTATTGCATGTTTTACCAATTTAAAGTGCCTTATTTATATAGACTGCACAAATTATACATTTTCGGTTTGTTTTTTGGTTTTACAAAACTACACGTCTCTTTCATATATGTTGCAAATGATCTAATAATTGTGGTTTTGTAAAACTGCTTAGAAATCTGCACCCAACATTTCATTTGAATTATAAGGGGTGTTTCTGCTGGTTGGTAGTAGAAGGTGATTCATCCCAACTTTTAAACCTGTTAATAAAAAATCACAACAACACTGTGAGATAAAAAAACAAGAATATTCTATTCTTTTGAAAATCAAGGAATTATTCAAAAAAGCTGACCAACTGTAGAACTGAAAGTCGGTGACCTTGAAGCGGCTCGGTTCATCAAAGTGAATGCTGTAGAAATGGTCTATTTGATGATGATGTTGTTACTGTCAAATGATAAGAGGGCTATGATTCTGTAGCAGGAACGAGATCAGACTGATATCTCGGTTGTGGTTGTTGTTAGCAACTCAGAACCTGTGAAATGGATTCAGACGAACACCAAAAATACCAAGAACGTAATTTGTTTTTACTCTTGTCCCTATTAAGAAAATAGGCTTGGTGACATTGGATTTTGGAAGCGGTTAAAAAGACCAAGATGCAACAGAGGTTGTGAAGAGAGTACGTGAGAGATGCTTGGGAATGTAGCAACTCTGATGATATAAGGTTCTGTTTGCTTGTGATCATCAACAGGCCAGTGCAGAACCTGAGATCCAAAGGATGAACAATGCTTGGTTGTCTGGTTAGTGCACCTCAGACTTTGAACCGTCTCTTAGATCCGAATTGCGAAAATCTCTTCAATGTTTGAACCAATATAGTCTTGTGGACCAAAGTTTGTAGCTTTAGATGCATTGACTTGTGCAGTTCGATCTATTTGGGGTTCTAAATAACTTTGCAAGTTCGATCTATTTGGGGTTCTAAATAACTTTGCAGTGTTTTAACCTGTGCATTTCGATCTATTTGGGGTTCTAAATAACTTTGCAAGTTCTAAGGAGACCACAACTTGTAGGGAAAAAAGTATTTTGCATAACATGTATTTGTGATTACAAAGCAAGTTTCAATATGAATCTTTACTATATACAACTCTGCTCAAATGGAGGTCAATCAAGAGAATACTATATACAACTCATGCTCTCATGCTCTGTAAAGTGTAAACATGATCTTCATGCAAAAAGGATGAATCCTAGAAGTAAAGCTCGTCGCCGGCACCACCTATGCGAGTATTTGCACTCATTTGCCTAGTCATAACTTTCACCATGGCACTAGTAGAGGGAACATAAGCTATAGGGTCACTCACAATAACATCAGCTAGCTTTGTAGGTATGTCATCGAGAGAAGTGGCTGTAGGCTCACTTGTAGGAAGATTATCTCCATGCTTCTCGATCTTGGCTAGTATCAACTCCCGATTAGATCTCATGTAACACTTGAGCAAACAGAAGAAGACGCAAGTGGGGTGAATACAAAATTATCTACAACACTTTCCAAATTTAACAAATTTCTAAAATTTTAAAATCAACTTATTAGTATAAATTTAATAAAATTTAATTATTAAATTTATTCTAAAATAAAAAAAATAAAGATTAAAATAAATATCGTTAATATTTTTATTTAAATTAAATATAGTTATGAGCTTTAGTATATAATTTATATTTTAGGTATTTTGTATCTATTAAATTTTTGGTTCAGTTGAATACTTTAGATGTTAATATGCACTTTTAACTTTGTAAACATATTAACTAACAAATATTACTTAAATATTACCATGTATATTACATTTATAAAGTTTATCAATATACTAAATTTATAATTAAAATTTCTAAATCTTTTAGTTAATGTTTGCTATCTTTTAGTTAATGTTTGCTAGGTGGTAATACTATAAAGTTACAAATAAAAAATTATTAAATTTCAAGATGCAAACAAAAATCTGTATTGTTATTATTTAAGAATTGTAAATAAGTATGTTGAGATAATGTACATCATATGTATTTCACTATTTGTAATATATTTTATTCAGAATAAAGAATGAAGAAAACTATTGCTAGTGCGTTATTTAATAAAAACGCTGCCTATTTGCATGTGTTACCAATTTTAAATGCCTTATTTATATATGGTTACATACTGCACAAATTATACATTTTCGGTTTGGTTTTGGTTTTACCAAAACCACACGTCTCTTTAATGAATGTTGCAAATGATGAATAATTGTGGTTTTGTAAAACCACTTAGAAATACGCTCCCAACATTTCACTAATCAAACATATTATGAAGTTTTAAGTAGTAATGTAAAATGCATTTCATACATACCTTGCTCATGGGATTTCCAATATATGTCTCATATGAACAACTTCTTGCAGATAACTCTGAAGAAGCTTTGAGAGCATGGTAGATACGTTTTCAAATATATTTGTATTCAGTTGTAGGGCCTGAGTAACAAATTAAAACTATGCTTTAGAATAGAACAAATAAAACAAAACCGTTTGATCATTAGGCAGATTTGACTGTATACCTTAAAACATATTTGATTCAATTCATGTTCTTCGAGAAACTTTGAATAAAATTTGATTAAATTCATCTTATTCAAATAGTAGGTTTCTAGAGATTTCAATCAAAATTCCTAGCTTGAGCTGAATCCTAACTCTAATCAGCCATCATGTTCCTTACAAAATATCTCTCTGGTGTGATTATTACAAGAACCTAAAAATATATATATTATTTAAGAATCACAATTATCTAAAATATAAAAATTAAATAAAATATGATTTTACCAGTTGAAAAGAGAAAATGTATTATCTTAATTAATTATAAAAAATATATACTATTTAAGAATCGTGATTATATGAAATATAGTGAAAAACTTTAAGAATTTAAGAATCATGATTATCTAAAATATAACAAATAATTATAATCAAGTAAATTACAGGTTCACCAGTTGAAAGGAGAAAATCCTATCTTAACTAACAATAAAAAACCTCTAATCTATTTAAAAATCATGATCATCACGTTGATTTTCAAAGAGAAAGATTGCTTCATATTGATTTAAGCCTACTTACGCACTTATGAAAATGCATGCTGCTTCTCCCGGCCTTTTGCAGCATGTTGCCAATTCATGAAGGTGTATTGGTGTTTGTGGGTGCATAATGATTTGATAATTGTCATGTTTTAGATATCTATTGAACTAAATTAGTTGATTTGGTAACGGATGCACCCACTATATCTTCTGGTCAGGAGTTCAAGGCACCCACTTTCACAAACTTTTTATGGCTTCGTAATGGATGGATATATAAATGGACTTCATTGATGGGTTCGGTAAGGCCGCACATTTCATAGCTCTTTCACATCTTATACACTAGAGAGAGAAAATATTTTGGCAAGAGCTTTTAGCTACTTCTGTAAATCTGGATGTCTCACAGGCACATCTAGATAACAATACAAGTTTGAGTGACTTTAATTATAAGGTCACAAGTTTGGGTTAAAAGATCTCTCTTCTGTTTCATTACTACTGTTTATTTTACTGACCAAACTGTGTTTCTTGATATTGACTTGACATCAAACAGCTACACTCCAACTTTTCTCTTTCTTTTCATTTCTCATACAATTTGATTTTTCATTCTCTCTCAAAGGGCATTTCTGTCAGTTCGATGATTTATAAACTTAAATACGTTACATTAGGCATCAGAGATGGAATGTAGTTAACTTATACAACAAGAAACATATCAAGTCTAAATCTCCTTGAGAGACTTCAATACATCTAACATAGTCGGTCTATTAGCAGGCGTTGCAGCGATACAGTGAACAGCAACCTGAAGCACACGAAGCATAGACTGTTTAAAAGTCACTGTTAGAACCAGAGGGTCCAAAACATCCACAGCTTTCCCTTTGTTAATCTTCTGAACAACCCAACCAACCAAGTTCCCTCCTTCACTCTCTTTAAAGTCAGGACCCGTTGGCTCTTTCCCCGTCACCAGCTCAAGCAAGATCACTCCAAAGCTGTAAACATCTCCTTTCGTTGTAGCTCGTGCGCTCTGACCATACTCTGGTGGAATATAACCGAACGTACCGGCTATGATTGTACTCACGTGAGTCTCACATGCACTGATCAGTCTAGCTAACCCGAAATCTGCAACTTTAGGCTCAAACTCACTGTCTAGAAGAATGTTACTTGCTTTGATGTCTCTGTGTATGATGTGAGGGATGAAACCGTGATGTAAGAAAGCTAATCCTCTTGCAGCTCCAACTGCTATCTTCAACCGTTTGGACCAGTCTAGCACCTCTAGGATCCCTGTTTGGTTCCTTAACCAATGGTCTAAGCTTCCGTTGACCATGTACTCATACACAAGAAGCTTCTCTTCACTGAAAGAGCAGTAACCAATCAAAGAGACTAGATTAGGATGCTTTACTTTCCCTAGAGTCTCCATCTCAGCCATGAATTCTCTGTTTCCTTGAGTTTTGGCATCGCTTAGCTTCTTGACCGCTACTGTTTTCCCATTAGGTAAACTGGCTTTGTAAACCGTCCCAAACCCACCGTCTCCTATGATGTTCTTCTTACAGAAACGGTCGGTTCCTTCCACAATGTCTGATAAACTCACCTTGAGAAGTGGCTGCTCGAACATAGCTACATTGATGCTTAATGGCTCTCTTGATCTGCTTCCACTTAAGAAGTAGAGATTCTGATCAACGAACCCTTTTAAACTGCTTTCCTCTGGATCATCTCTTTGCTTCACTCTCTTTCTCATAACATATCTGCGCAGAGAGAAAACTGAGGCAAAGACTATGATCATACTCCCAATCACTATTCCTGAAAGTCCCCAAGCACTTAGAAAAGTCTTTTCACCAATCTTGCAATCTGAGCCAGTTACTCTCCCACACAACGCTTTGTTCTCAGTAAACAATGCCTTGGAATGATCCTGACAAACACCATCGCTTGGTACTTCTCCTTGTAAACTGTTCTTAGCCAAATTCAGGAAATGTAGATTATCCAATCCACAGATTTGTCTTGGTATATCTCCAGAGATGTTGTTCTCAGACATGTCAAGGTACTCCAGCTGCATGAGACTCCCAAGCTCTGAAGGGATTCCTCCGGTGAAGTGATTGTGATGCAAATCCAAGTTAGTCAAGTATGACAAGTTCCCCAGTGATCTCGGCAAGCTTCCCGTGAATAAGTTAACACTGAAGTTCACTGTTTCAACTTTCCACGACAATGAGCTGCAGAACAGATTCTCTACAGAGCCTGAGAACCCATTCTCCTGAATATAGATGCCTACTAGGTTGAGCATTCTAGAGAGCTCTGAAGGAAGCTCGCCGCTTAGCTTGTTAAAACTCAAGTCCATGTGTGTCAGCTCTTTCAAGTTCCCAAGAGAAGCAGGAACAGAACCATCCAGCTTATTCTTGGTCAAGTTTAGCTTCACCAAGCTTCCCAAAAGGCCAAAGCTCTTCGGTATATGTCCGTTGAGTTGATTATTCGCCAAGTTTAGTCCCTGCAGCTTAGGAGAGTGGCCTATCTCTTCAGGAATGGAGCCGGTGAGGTGGTTTACAGAGAGATCCAGATTTGTCAGGTTGGTTAAACGAGAGAGTGAAGCTGGGATCTGTCCAGAGAGATGATTGTTGTTTAGTAAAATCTCAACCACTACCACACAGTCGCCTAGCTCTTCAGGTATAGGACCGGTGAGACTGTTGTGTGAGAGGTCAAATATCCCATGGTGCTGAAGAAAGCTCATATCAGGCATGTCTATCTGGTGGAAGTAAGCAGAAGGCTTTGAAGGAATCGAACCGGAGAGATTGTTGTGAGAGAGAACAAGGCATTGAAGCTGAGCAAGAGAAGTGATCTTGTCAGGAATCTCTCCTTGGAGATTGTTTTTGCCAAGGTCCAATGTAGTCAAAGAAGTACAGTCACCGAGATCTCTTGGTATCTTCCCTTGAAGCTTGTTTGAATTCAAATTCAAGAAAGACAAAGAAGTCAGCTTCCCAACCTCTCTTGGTATCTCACCTCTAAGCTGATTATCACTGAGCACAAGCCTCTTCAACGAAACTGCATTACCAATCTCTGCAGGCAAATAACCTCCTAAACGGTTGTAAGAAGCTGAAAACTCCATCAAGTTCGTTGAGTTCCAGAGACTCACAGGGATCTCTCCAGTGAAGTTGTTTGAATCCAAGTCAAGCGCCATCAAAGGAAGCTTAGAAAGATACTCAGGTAAAGAACCGTTAATCTGATTATTCATAAGAGACAACTGTTGAAGATTACTACATCCAACAAACACCTCCTCAATACTTCCAGAAAAGAAATTCACAGACAGATCAATATCCTCCAACGCACCAGAACCACAAAGCTCCTTAGGAATGTTACCAGTTAACAAGTTACTAGAGAGACTAAGCTGCTTCAACATAGGACAATCCTGAATCTCACTAGGTATCTCTCCTGTAAACCTGTTGCTAGCGAGCAGAAGCGACTCAAGCTCCTTCCATCTACCAATCCAAGAAGGTAACAAACCAGAAAGATGATTCTTCTCAGCAGAAAAAGACAGCAAAGGAATCTCTGACATCTCCAAAGGTAAAGAACCAGAGAGTTCATTAAAAGAAAGCATCAACGTCTTGAGACTCTTACACTTACCAATCTCCTTAGGAATCAAACCGTTAATCTCAGCAGAGACAAGATTCAACATACTCAAACTCCGCAACTCTCCGATAGACTTAGGGATCGAACACTTGAGTGGGTTGTAAGAAAGGTCAAGCTTCACCAAGTGTTTGAGTTTAGCTATCTCATCTGGTAACGGTCCTCTAAACAAGCAAGACGGTGCTATAAAGTTCTTGAGAAGCGTGACGTCACCAATCTCCGGCGGGATTCGACCGGAGAGTTTGTTCTCCCCCATGTAAAGATCAGAGAGGTTTCTCAACTTCCCTATCTCCGGAGGGATTTCACCGGAGAGAGAGTTGTTAGAGACGTCTAGAGAGGATAGCCCCAAGAAGCTGAGGAAGAAGGAAGGAGGGAGATGGCCTGAGAGGTGATTGTCGCTTAAGTCAAGGTAGAGGAGGCGAGGTAACACTCCGAGTTGACTCGGGAGGGGACCTGTGAGTGAGTTTCCGGAGAGGTCTAGGGTTTGGAGGTGTTTGAGGAGGTTAAGCTGAGGAGGGATGAGGCCGGAGAGGGAGTTTTGGGAGAGGTCTAAGTGGGTGAGAAAGGGAAGGGAGAAGAGGGAAGGAGGTAACTTTCCTTTTAGAGACATTGATGGTAAAGATAGAGACTTTACTGTTCCGAGACGGCACGTGACGCCGACCCAGTTGCAGTGGGAGGAAAGGTTCCATGAGGAGAGAGTTGTTGGGTTGTTGAGGGAAGCTTTGAAGGATAAAAGAGAGTTTCTTTCTGAGGTTGAGTCACTGAAAACAGAGGAAATGGAGAAGAGGAGAAAGAGGAAGGAGAAAGCTTTGAGAAACTCCATGGAGAAGGGAAAGAGAGTTTCTTTAGAGAGAAAGGTTCAGTTTTTATGAAGAAGTGAGAGAGGTTTAGTTAAAACGCCATTAAAGAGAGAAGCTTTTAGGCGCGAGAAAGATGAAAGAAGAAGAGAGTAATGCACGAAAGTCACGTGAGGAGGTAGACCATTATTTTAAAAGTTTGTAATGACGAATTTATTTAATTTTTTTTTGGTAGTTCTTCTGTGTTTATTTGCGTGAGTAAACGGATAAAAATATCTACAAAATCATAAAGAGAAAGATGGAGATGGAAGGAAGGCATGATGGGTCAATAGAGTACGGCTAGAATCTTCAGAAATCATAACCACTGTACTACTATGATAAAGCTGACGGGTTTGGTATACGAATATTTTAAAAGTATGGGGTGAATCAGTAAATTTAACCAAATTTAATGGCTTTCTTGTAACTTTGTCTAAAGCTGGTGTTATTTGAATTAATGTGATCTCTGATAAGACTTTAAGTAAACCAGCTATGTGATGATAACTACCTCAATTCTAATTATATATGCAGTTAATACATTTTTGGGGAAGTATCGCATTAAGTTCAATAATTATACAGTTCATAATTTGTTTTTGGGAATTGTTGCATTACGTTAATAATTGGTTTGTTTTAAATTTTAGTCCATCTGTTACACTCGTTTTTTTTACCTTAGTTTGAAAACGCACTTTCGTCTTTCGGTTACTTTGGGTAGTTGACCAACAATTTATGATGAGTAAAAGCGAAGATAGGGTTAAATTAAAAACAAAACAAAACGGTTCAGTCAACATACAATATAAACCCATTTGTTTTACAGGGTTTTAAATTATTTAAAATTAAGTTTTGTTTTTCGATCTTTGAAGGTAAATACTAGCAGTGAAGAGGGGGTTAGTCAAGAAAGAAAAAAAAAACTAGGCACGGTCTGGTCCCCTATAATAAGTTCCAAACTTCCAAACAAGTTATAAAAAGGGTAGAAAAACAGAGTTCCCCCACATGACTTCTTTCCCTTTTGGGTATGTTACAAGCTTTTACCCTTAAGGATGGTCTTAGGGATCTGTTTCCATCTTCAAAACACATATCATATCCATTTCTAACTTGCATTATAACACTTGTATATATTATTTAAATATATCTTTTTAAGAGTACTAGATTTAACCATGTGCAAGTAAATTGTTAGGAACCTTTTATCAACCTAAAACTTATGGTACTTTTCAGAAGTTTTTGTTTATTAGTATTTTGAAACTAAAACTATTGTTTTGAGGATCAACACCAACCTCAAAACAATACTTAAGCTACCATTACGAGTATATCAGTATGAAATAGATGTTTACAAGTTAGTATTGGATAACGGATTATAAATATGATAAATTACAAGGTTAGTGAACGGGGCCTCTTACAAATGTCATAACACCATATGGTCAGAAAAAATCACCTGCTACATACAATTAATGGATGGTAATAAGTTAAACACAAAAAATGTAATTAATATTTTGAACTGATGCAGACGAGCTTGGCACATGAAAGGTTATTGGATGTAACAAAGCCAAAAATGGGAATGTTTTTGGAATTGGCGCATCACTGAACCAAAACCACTTTGAGTCCAATTAATTGACTGATAACCTCATTTGATCCTTTCTTTTCTTTTTTATCCAATAGATAATTAAATTCTAGTAATGGTATCAACAGCAAAGCTGTGGAAGAAAATGACATGAACTTGTGTGTCAGATTTTCTCATAGAACCAGGAGAGATGACATTACCTTCTGAAATAATTATTACTTCAGATTTGTTTTGGCTTCTACTGAGATGAAAATCATAAGAAAGTCTCAATGATTCAACACATGCTACAACACAAGAGATTCATTACAATAAGAAAGTACAAAGATTTTGCAAATGACCCCATCACTATGATGATAATTACAAACTTCCATCATAATTTATAAATCTGAACCCTCTCAAAAGTAGAAACAAATACTTAAGACAGGCTTCATATCAATTAAAAAGAAATAAATAAGGTATACATACATCAATACCTCTCTTTCTCTTGCTGTACATAGAAATGTTTGTGATCATGCATTGATCTCTGAGTTGCATTGGTTCTCTCTGCTACAGCTTCTTCTCCCCCAAAACATGCTTGAGCAAGTTGTTGTTTTCCCAAGTCTTTGCCCTTCATCTACCTTCTCCTGCTCATTCATTGCCCTCGGAGGAGGAGAAGACTCGTCATGTTCTTCACTATCTCTCTCTGTTCCATGCGTCTCAAAATTCGGACATGTTCCATCGTTGCATGTGCACATTGGAATGTTGACTGAAGGGAATGGACTACATGTAACCGGACAGAACATATCAGATGAAACCGAGGCTGCTCGAGTCTTGCTACGCTGTTCTGTTGTTGGTGAAGATTCATCTCTTGCGTCTCCTGTGTGGAGCATACACGGCGCACAGAAGCCAAGTGACATAGGTAACTTCATTTCTTTGGTTAGGGAGCTTGGGAGTCGTTTAAAGGAGACTATTCCGTGTCTGCAAAGAGGACAAGGGATTGAACCGGGAGGATCAACTGTCACCGAGGGAACATTGCTAGATGAGCAAAGATATAACGCGCATCTCACACATAGCTGATGCTCACAACCTGAAACACAAAAAGGTTTGTGAGTTTAAGGATCCTTACACAGAGAGTCTTGAATAAGAATTTAGACAAGACCTTCAGCAGCAACAGTGCATGTTCTCTCCAGGCAAACCGCACAGATATCAACCTCATCTGAGATGGTTGCTGACTGCAACCCAAACTCTCTGCAGGGAAATGTTTAAGAATAATAAGCTAATAGTCTTGGAATCCTAAAACTTGATGAAGGTTTGGTCTTGTTACCTTGCGATGTTGAGTATACTCAGAAGAGGCAATGATAAGTAGTTGGAACGAGGGAAGACTGGAATGACTACATCAGAATTTGGAGAAAGCAAAGGTTCTAACCAATGACGACTCCACATCCTTGCTATGTCAATTGGTAGCCACCTACAAACATTTTTTTTTTGAAAAGGACAGTTTACGCTCTGTGTGTTTTGAACATGAAACGAAACTCATAGAAGAGACTGTGGAGGAATAATCTACCCATTGCAGTTCAATGTCATCTTTCTTGCCCCTCTTGCAAGGAGTATCTACAGAAGAAGGGAGATTCTCACAAATCTTTGTATCCAACACAGAGAAACGAAAGAATAGGCTTAGTAGTGTTATTACCTGACAACATTTAAGATTCCCACCACAAGCGGCATAGTGCAAAGGCGTGCTTCCTGCTCCTGAAAAAGATATAAGTAAGACCAAGATCATCATCTTAGGAGCAGAACTAAAAAGAATGTGTTAAGATATCTTGGGGAGCAGCTAGAATAGAGAGGTGATACCAATCATATCCATTGATGTTCCATAATGAAACGTCACAGCGGAAACATTCGCTTCAAGATCAAGCAAAAGCTGCACACAATCAAATAATCCGTTTAAGGCAGCCATATGAAGAGCTGTAATTCCACCGTCAGCCGCCTTATTCACAAATTTAGACAATGCGCTGCACAAAAAGTTGTCCGAAACTCAAATCAAACCCTTACAAGAAGACACAGAAGATAGTTTCCACAAATCAGGAAAAAAAGAAAAACCTTTGGTCGGATTTGTTCCTCGGTGTGACCACCACACCAGACTCAGGAAGAGGGTTTAGTTGCTCACTAGGTACAAAGTCAGCCAAAACCAGTCTAATACACCTGGCGTGGCCATTCACAGCAGCGAAATGAAGCGCTGTTCTTCCCGCTAAATAATCAGCTCTTGTAACCTTGACAAAAAACAAAGACAAGAATTTAAACAGAGAAGAAGAAGAAGATAGTTTTTGGTTCAAAGTAAGTGATGGATGAGAGACAAGACAAAACTCACATTGCAACGAAAGAGAAGAAGAGTTTGCACAACTTCCCAATGTCCATATCTACAAGCTTGCATCAATGCCGTCTGAAACAAGATTCCATTTACGCATTGAACCATACCAAAAAAAAATAAAAAAAAAGTCGAATGTTTTTCTATTACTCTATTACCTCAAACTTAAACCAAAGATTTAACAAGTTACTACTACTAAGACACATCCCCAAATCGAATTAAGCTGCATACAGAGCTAAAGGCTAAACATTTGAATCCGGGAGTACCTGGCCACAATAGTTTCTTGAATTCACATCAGCTCCTTTCTCAAGCAACAACCCCACGATCTAACCATAGTCAAAGAAGACAACTTCAAAAATTAAACAGAGAGATATTTGAACAGTTAATTAGGATTGGAAAAGGAAAGTAAAAGGAAACCTCGTTGTGGCCTTTAGCGGCTGCGAAATGTAAAGGAGAATTGAGACCACCGAAAGTAGAGTACTTTGCGAGACAAGGATTGCAATCTAGTAGCATCTTGGCTTCCACGTAGTCACCATCTCTCGCTGCTGAGACTAATCTCTCCCCTGACGCCGAACAACCAAACGAGTTTCCCATCTTCTTCTCTCTTTCTTCTTCAGATGAGAATACTCTCTCTATCTCTCTTTAACTCTCTAATTCAATTGGATGTGACGATGAATTAGGTCAACCGTCGTGGAAAAGCTGCAGTGAGAGAGAGAGGAAAGAATCGGAGATTAGATTATCATTACACAAACAGCACGCGATCTCTCTCTCTCTCTCTAGTTTTTGTCCGTATGAGACAAAAAGAAAGACAAAGAAGATGCAAGTCTTAAAAAAAAACTGACTTTCCTATTTTACCCCTGAATCTCCTTTCGTCGACTAACTTCCACTTTCACTTGTCCCACTCACTCCACGTGACGTTTTCTTATTTGTCAAAAATTTACAAACCTAATCTAAATTTAATTCTGTATATAATTAAACACGTCACATAACGTATTACACGTGTACATATCTAATTGGCTGAAACAAACCCACTTTCTCACCGACTCTCAAATAAGTTTTCTTTACCGCCTTCAAACACAAAAAAACAATTACAGAGAGACAGAGAGAGATTAGTAATAATGGCTATAGGAGATGATGATCTGGAAATGTCGGCGAAGAATCAGCGAGGGATCGGAAGCAAAGGAGTTGATCGGAGCAGATTCGGACCACCACCTAGACCTGCACCGTTGGTTTACTCTGATCTAAGCGGCCGCGATGACAACGACGCCTTGTCGTCTCCTTGGACATCGTGGCTTGTTCCCTTGTTCGTTGCGGTTAACGTGATACTCTTCGTCGTTACGATGTTTGTCAACAACTGTCCTTCCCATTCTCATGGTCCTAACCGTCACTGTGTCGCTACTTTCCTTGGTAGACTCTCCTTTGAGCCTCTCCGCAACAATCCTCTCTTCGGCCCTTCTTCTCGCACGTGCGTTTTTTCGGTTGCTCTTGATTTTATAAAGATTCCAATTTAAAACGATAAGTGGAGTGGACCATCTATCTTATATATTGTTAGAGATCCCTTTCCAACAACCGATGTGGGACTTTGGTCCCTAATAAATTGTGTGTTGGTTGGTTTATATTCATTTTAGGTTGGAGAAGTTGGGATCACTAGAGTGGTACAAAGTTGTGGAGAAGCATGAAGCGTGGCGTCTTTTGACATGTATATGGTTACATGCTGGTGTGATTCATCTTGCTGCTAATATGTTAAGTCTTGTGTTCATTGGTATACGACTTGAGCAGCAATTTGGTTTCGGTAATGATTTTGAATGATGGTGTAGTTTTTGTTGATGGTATAATCATACAGATGTTGAAATTTTGGGGGGTTTGAGTTTTGCAGTTAGGATTGGAGTTATATACTTGTTATCAGGATTGGGAGGAAGTATATTGTCTTCTCTGTTTATTAGAAATAGTATCTCTGTTGGAGCTTCTGGTGCTCTTTTTGGACTTCTTGGTTCAATGCTTTCTGAACTTCTCACCAATTGGACTATTTACTCTAACAAGGTTTGTCTAGTAACTACTTCATGTGCTAATGATAGTTTGTTATTTTCAGTTAGTGACACTTTTTCCTCTTCTTTTGTGTGTGGACAAGTAAGGTTGCGGCATTGTTGACGCTTTTGTTTGTCATTGCGATAAACTTGGCCATTGGGATTCTACCTCACGTTGATAACTTTGCTCACGTCGGTGGATTTCTAACGGGGTTTTTCCTTGGGTTCGTTCTCCTGGCTCGTCCTCAGATCAAGTGGTTAGCTAGAGAGAATATGCCACAAGGCAGACGTCTCACATCCAAGTACAAGCCTTACCAGTACATATTGTGGCTTTTGTCTCTGGCTCTATTGATCGCCGGGTACTGTTTGCATTCACCCTTTGTTAAGTCTCCTCTAAAGTAGCAAAGTTATGCGAATGTTTTGTGGGGGGTTTTTGGCAGGTTCGTGATGGCGCTGGTGATGCTATTCAAAGGAGAAGACGGGAATGATCACTGCCGCTGGTGTCGCTACCTGCGTTGTATTCCCACCTCACGATGGAGTTGTGATGACGTTTGATATGTAAGCAACATGTGTTTTACATTTGTAAATGAATGTCATTACATTATATAGGTACTTTTATTATCTCCTTTACTAGAGGTTGTGTGATTGTTGTGTGTGTGTGTTACTTGTATCATTTTACCGGAAATGAAAAGGATAAATCATTTGTTTAGTATAGAAAGAGTTATATGATATCTCAATCAAGTCATATCTCTAAGTTGTGAATCCCACGTCGTGACTTGACATCACTATGAATAATTGAAAGTTATTTATCAGACAAGTGTTGACTCCTAACCATTGACGTGTCTTGTTGGTACGAGATATGTACCGTATGATCTAACAAATTGCGGATCCAACAAGTTTCAACGATCGTATTTGTAACGTAACTCCTTTGTACTCAGCTCGTCGGTTGGCGTTTTGAAGACCAAAAATACAAGACTTTCTCCTAGGTCAACGTAGTAGCTTGATGTTGACCTGTTCGTGTCCGGATAACCAGCCTAGTCGGAATATGCCATAAGAGTGTTAATTTTATATATGAACATCTTACATAGGCCGAAACATTAATTTTAAATAAGCATTTTGTTTGTTCTTTCTTTACTTTAGTCTTGGTTGTTCATTGATTGGGTTAAAGGTCACTTAGTTTGAGCCGGGATCATTTCAAGCACTCAAATCTCAATGAACATCTAACACTGAGTCAAAGTCCTGCATATTCTTCTAGAATTATATAAGTGTTTCAACACTTAAAAGATAAACCCTGATTCAGAAAGTCTTCTTTTGACTTTTTTTTATAAAAATAAAAATACTTCAAAAAAAATAATACCATGATAATGGTTTCCTTGATATGTTCTCCTAAGATATAACCCATGAATAGTTGCAATAGAAATAAACAAAAATAGCCATCAACTAGAAATATTCCCATATTATTTCCAAAAAAAAAAAAAGCAAGGAAGATGCAGGCTGAGGCGGAACATAACCTGACTTTCCCATTATACTTCGTTGACTTCCACTTTCATTTGTCCCAATCAACCCACGTTTCGTTACAACCTAATCTAGTTTAATACTTATGTCCAACCAGCATGCTACACGTAACTATATAACTAATTTAATATAAACCCACTTCCTCGCCGACTCTCAAATAACGTTTTAAAAGCCTTTCTTACCACCTTATATTCGCAAAACCGAAAACATAAACAATATCAGAGAGATCAGCAAAATGGGCGTAGGAGATGATCTGGAGAACCAAATGACCACGAAGCATCATCGAGGGATCGGAAGCAGAGGCGGTGACCAGGACTTATTAGGACCGTCGCCTAGGCCAGTGGTACCGTTGGTGTACTCTGAATTTAGCGATGACGAGTTGGCGCCACAGTGGACCTCGTGGCTGATCCCGTTGTTTGTTGTGGCTAACGTGATAGTCTTTATCGTCACGATGTTTATCAACAACTGCCCTAAGAACTCAGAGTCTCATGATCCCAAACAGAAATGTGTCGCCAGGTTCCTCGGGAGATTGTCCTTCGAACATCTCCGTAACAATCCTCTCTTCGGCCCGTCTTCTCTAACGTATGTTTCATCCTCTATGCCTAATCAGTGTCGTCTCAAATTATTTTCAAAGAAAGTAATGATATAGTTAGTTGTAAGAAAGTTAATAGCTATTTGTATATTATAAACTACGGATAAAAGTATAATTAGAATTTAAAGTCTAGATTCTAATTTATATATTTATTTTAAAAGACTTAAACTTTTTTTTTTTTACAATTATGATCATGTTGGGCCACTCTACATGCAAGTACTAAAATTAATTCACCATGTATCTTATCATTTGAATTGTGTGTGTTGACATTCATTTATTGATTTTGGTAGATTGGAGAAGTTAGGATCACTTGACTGGTACAGAGTTGTGGAGAAGCATCAAGCTTGGCGTCTCCTGACATGTATATGGTTACATGCCGGTGTTATTCATCTTGCAACTAATATGCTAAGCATTGTATTCATCGGTACTCGCCTTGAGCAGCAATTTGGTTTCGGTATGTGCCCTTCCTTTTTGTCCTTGATTACTTCTGATATGATTGTCAAATGTTGTTGAAATGATTTACTTTTGAGTTTTTTTGCAGTTAAGATTGGGTGGATATACGTAATGTCAGGAATGGGAGGAAGCATACTGTCTTCATTGTTTATTAGAAACGGTATCTCTGTTGGAGCTTCTGGTGCTCTGTTTGGCCTTCTTGGCTCAATGCTTTCTGAACTTATCACCAACTGGACTATCTACTCTAACAAGGTTTATTTTTCAATAATACTTCATTGAGTAACACTTATAATTTCGTGGTAATGACATTTTCTTCTTATTTTGGTGTGTGACAAGTAAGATTGCAGCATTCTTGACGCTTCTGGTTGTCATTGTGATAAACCTAGCCATTGGGATTCTACCTTACGTTGATAACTTTGCACACGTGGGTGGATTTTTAACGGGGTTTCTCCTCGGTTTCGTCCTCCTGGCCCGTCCTCAGATTAGGTGGTTTGCAAGAGAGCATATGCCACAAGGCAGACGTATATCCAAATACAAGCCTTACCAGTACATATTATGGCTCCTGTCTCTGGCTCTATTGGTCCTCGGGTACCGTTTGCATTGCTTAAGACTCTTATCAACTTTATTCATTTCAATGTTAAATAATCCTTCTAATGTAACGAAATGTTTTTTCAGGTTTGTGGTGGCGTCGGTGTTGCTATTCAAAGGAGAAGATGGGAATGATCACTGCCACTGGTGTCGTTACCTACGCTGTATTCCCACTTCAAGATGGAGTTGTGACAGCGTTTGATGCCTATTCTCAGGAGACTCTGTGATTGCTTGTTTGTGTGTGACTATTCATTTACCGGAAACAAAATAAATGGTATAATGGAATTGTTTATATCAATCAGTCAACTCATACCTCTAAGTTGTGATTACCATGTTGTGACTTGACATCACTCCAAATTATTTAAGTTTTTTTGTATCAGACAAATTTGGACCTATTGGTACGAGATCTGTACCGTGGGCTCTAGTAAAAAAAAAAAATACAGAGTTTACAAACACTTGTATGTTTAAGGATTCTAATGTTAAGAATCGCAATAGTAACAAAAATCTCTCTATATATTTATGTATTTATATGTTTTTGTTACTATTAGCACCGCATTGCAATTGCCATTCGGAACCTAAATTTACTTTACACATTCCACTCACTTTTTAAAGTCTTTCAAATATTAAAACCGAATAGGATCAGAGCTGAGATATGAAGAGTACATCTTCGATTTCTCACTTTGGTTTCGATGATCAAACGATCGCTCTGCAGCCGCTGTGTAGTAGTAATACTGTCCCTGCGCTGAACTCTTGTAGCCACTCTCTGAAGAGAACTCTTGAATCCTCTGTCTTGGGACACTTTGTGACCGAACTTTTGCTCTGTAAGACTCAGTGTTAGCCATGTAGTTAGGGTAATACCCAGAGTAGTACTCGTACTCGCTTCTCGTTGGCGTAAACGGCGTTCTTCTCCTTGAACAACCACCACCGCTACTACTTCCTGGTCTAGACCTTACTTGTGGACTGTTCTCCACACTTGTCGGAACATTATGAGATCCTCTTTTCCTTGGTGACTCCTTATGGTAGGAAGAGAAGTGAGGCTTCCATGTGTCTACTTCTAGAATCTTGTCATTGTCTTCATTGTACAACGGTGCGTTCCAACGGCTCGAACCCATCTGAGAACGATGGTCCATTGCAATGAGTTTGATGTATTCAGACTCTGAAACATGAGAAGAACGCGACGCTCGAGCTCGAGCTTGGAGCCTAACTAGCGTTTGCATCCGACGCAACATATCAGCTGTTTGTTTCCTCACTATGTGACCTTTAACTAACGCTTGGAGCTTCACTAACGCCTTCAACGCTCTCAACGCCCTCTTCGCCTAAAGTATTAAAATAAATAAATGTTTTTGTTATACAAAACTACAAAGGAATATTAAATCTTCTTTTAGTTTCCCAACTACTTCCATTTCTTCTAGATGGTTACACACCTAATACGTTTTGTCTTTAAACCATGTGTATCTATCGTACAAGATACCATTAGATAGTGTCGGTAAAGGATCGTATTGACTTCTAACAAGTTTCATATACATTTTTGTCTCTTTTCATAGTACTTATCCGGGACCGTTACAAAAATACAAATTGAGATTATCATTTATTATTTTTCAGTAATTATTTATATACGGAGTTAAGTAGAAAAATCAACATCAGACAGCTACTCCATAATTAAAGATTTTTTACTCGAGTTAAATTTGAAGATTATTAATTAAAGGGACTGTTAAACTAACCAAGTAGCCACGGAAAGATGATTGAATCTTTATCGCCGCTATATACTCCAGCGTCCACCGGCGGTTATTCTGATTAGAGGTTCTACCACTGCCTCTTCCTGTAAGCCTCACGACCTCTGCCGCAGCATGAGCGGCTGCTAGTGCCGCTTCAGCTACAGCAGCAGTGGCAGCTGCGACGGCTATTGCATGCTTGTCGACGTCCAAGATTTCTTCACTGTAACGTCTCTTGCTTGGATGAGAAGATGACGTTGATAAAGCAGTTGCTGGATTTGAGGATGTGGTGAAGCTCCATCTTCGTCTGTTGTTATTCGTTGGTTCTGACTTCTTCTCCTGCTTCTTCTTACTCCCGAACAGTCGTCCGAAGAAACCCATAATTACTTCATAGCCAGAAAATCACCGATGTTTTTTTGCTAAATTTGTTGGAGAAAATATAAAAGAGAAAGAAACAGAGACAAGTGGGAGTGGAGAAAGTACAACGAGTAGGGCTGGGCATTTTATCCGTTATATTTGATTCGATCCGTTATTCGTTTCGATTCGATCCGAAAATTCCGGATATCCATAAACTTTCGAATCAAAGCAAATACTAAAATTTAATATCCGTTAAAATCGAAGCAAATCACAAATATTAAAATTTTGGAAAGCGGATATCCGATCCGATCCGTAAATATATAAATATATGTATATTTTGATTATATTTAAAATTTTAATTGTATAAAATTATATAATTATTAATTTAGCACATGATTTTGAACAATTCT